GGGGGGGGGGGGGGGGTTACATTGGTTGGTTATTGGCTAATAGACTGTATATATATATAGGGTTACACATGCCAAAAAATCATTATGACATCATAAAGTGGCCAAAATCTGATCAGCTCATTTTCAGACAGGCTTGTATATAAATGGATCCGGACAAAAACAGAGCGAATCTTTTTTCCTGTAACATTCAGAATGTCTTTAAGCAGAGAGGAAACATGGTTATGTACACAAGACAGGAACATTTGGATTTTGCATAATAGGTGACCTTTAATATTGACGAAAAATAGTTTAAAACTTGTATTGTTGTATAAAAATCCATTATCAATAACAGTATGTAATGAACAATTTCAATATGTTTTTTTGAAGTTTTTTGAACATGTCGTTGAATATAAGTTGTACCTTTGAAACGATGGCTGAGGATGTGTTCAAGGATGGCTGCGAAGTTGATGAACTCCTCAGAGGAATCATCGATGGGCTCGGCTGTGTATTTCTCTAACAGCGTCTTCACTGAAAACCTAGAGAGAGAAGAGAAAGAGAGAGAAAAGTTATACACAAAGAGTTTGCCAGGAAAAATATAATTGTGGGAACAGATTAGTCAGGGATGCGATTAATGGATTACTTCTTCCTTCGATTCAGTTTAACGAATTATAAGGATATAACCATGTTGGAATGATACATTCAGATGAACAAACGATAAAAACCTGTAAAATGGTTCAAATGAGAAGCAACTGAATCCTAGGTTGAATGCACACTATGCTATTCCCATAATTGTGATGTTAATGTGAATTTCTGCCCAGTCACGCTGCACTGTCCATTTCCGTCTGACTCATCCACAAGGTAGACTTGTGCGCTTTCAGGAAGCTCTGACGACTTGGTTTAATTTGAAATGGACAGCTTGAATTTATGACTCTGGTGTGATGTAATGGATGCCTGAAGCCTGTAGCCCATAGTATGTTGTTTTTCAGTACATTATTAAAATGAGAAAACAAAAGTAGCCAGACAACCAGCACAATAATGAAAGTGACTGTAATAAGAAATATATTTGGAATAGTTCTGTGAAAGAAAAGCAGAAATCAACACAATTGTTGGGGAAGGACAAACTTAGGAGTTAACAATAAAGCAGATATATTCATCACTATCCCTTTTTCAGTCTTATTAACAAAAGGGAATTTTAGCTGATGAATCCGCTTCTGGTCACTTATCTGAGTCATCTAGACATCCTGTTAGCAATGCTAAGTGTTTACTGTATGGTCTGCTCAACTGTTTTATTTTTGAACATGTTTCATATTTGTTATATTAAAAGGGCCTTCTCAGGCAAGCTATGGAAATGACAACTATACAAAAACATTGTAATATAAGCATTGAGTAATTGTTTTGCAATTCTCTATGTATACCGTTTTTTGTCAGGTGAAATAGTCAAAATAAACACTCAATAATAATAAGAAATAGATAAAACATAAATAATCAATGGCTGGTGGGAATGTGATTACTTTTGCAGGTATTTCGTCACAAAAAGGACACATTTTTTATATTTAGGTACCATGAATCTCTGTACTAAATTCATAGTTATCCATATAGTTGTTGAGATTTGAGTTTGGGGTGGACCATGTGACAGACAGTGCCATCCCTACATGTCTAGCATGGCTAAATATTTAAAATTGCCAAATGGATTCTGGTGTTACAATGTGCCTGAATAATTGAATGTCAACTGGGGTGAACTCCTGCCATATTAATGCTGTTTATTTAAGGCAACATTATCCTTTCCTTGAAATGACTACTTCTAAATATTTTTTCCTGGAGACTAAATAATTCAGCAGGTCTCTGTGCTGGAGGAACACCTGCCAAATGTTGTTTTTCCAGTGACAAGGAGATATGCTGTGGGGTGACATAGACACAACTGAAACCCGGTCAACATGAAGTGCATGAACAAACACTGTTTCTGATAGAGATTGGTCATGTTTTACTGACTCTAGAACCACAGAGTTTAGTGGCCAAATATTAACATTTTTAAAGTAAAACACATCTGGGCGTTTTACAGTAAACACACAGTCAGTTTGTCTGTGTCCGTAAGACAGCAGACAAAGCTTTTCCAAACATAGGCAATTGAGGCAAGTGATTTCAACCCCCATTGTTCAAGGGGCAACAATGTCTCATTCAGCTGCTCTGACCGTGGCCAGATACTGGACAATAAATGTCCGACTATCTTCAGAAAAAGCACACTCCCTCGTGATTTCACTATACTACAAACAGCAGAGACGTCACATGACACAGATAAGCTTTTTTCAACAGAGGTGCTGTTCACCTGCACCAGATGTTTGAATGTGTGTTTGTGTGTGTGTGTGTGTAATGTTTGTTAGTTGTACATACGACAAGAACATAATGTATGACTGGACATGTGGACTCCAGTCACATGACTTGGGCCTAACACAAACAGATAAGAGATGTTTTGATGACAGGATTTCCAGTTGACTTTAGTATCAATGATCTGAATTTGGCAGAACAAGCAGCATATTTCTGGACAGAGCAGACATTAAGCCAGAGTTTAGACATTTACTGCGCTTTAAATTAAGGATTGTGCCATTATTTTTGCCAGATTTAATAAACAAGTGCAATTACCACTTGTTTGGGCAAAAGTCTAAATCTACGTGCATTCCCAGTACAGTGAATTGTATGTCAGTTTCATAAATAGCCAATTTCTATCTGAAATAACTGATTATTTCGGCAACTTGAGCAAATTCTCAGCATGAATATAAGTTTATTTTTCTGGTCCCTGACAAATAAGTCCAATATGAACTCTCCTTTTAGCTCCAATTCTGGTCTCCTCAATGCTCCAGATGGAAGTATTTGGCTCTTTAACTGCTAAATGTTTACTTGCGAATCGCCAACTGCGTCTGTTAACTGTTTGGCACAGAAAAAGTAACAAATAGTCAGCAGTTTAGCTGTTTTGAGCAATTGAAAGTGAACCAAAACAGAAAATGTGCGAACTGGACAATCAAAACAATGAGCTCAAAAATATTGATAGTGGCAGCTTTAAATGTGATGCTAGTTACTTTAACTGAGTGTGTTTACACTTTAAAGCAGACCTAACTACAGACCACATCTCTGAATGAAGATCTTCACGGTAAGTTAATATTACATGCATGTAAACATATAGTTTATATGTGCTGATGTTTACACTGTGTGGTCAATAGCAAGCATGCATACAGTATGATTATGTCTATACTGTATGTGTTCTGGAAAAAGCTTGGAAGTACAAACCTTTATCCAAACCCCCCTCATGGTTCAATCAGGACACTTTAAGTAACCGCCTCCCTGCCCTGAGTCCCAGGGGTGCCAGCTAGTCCTTGCCCCAGGAAGATTGTCGTCATAGCAACCACCCCATCAGGAGGGAGGAGATAAATCTCACTGACAGAGATGACACTGCTAAACTCAGAGGCAAGTCTGTCTGATTTTGTAAGTATAAAATAAACATGATGTGTATACATCGTATTACGTTGTTAATACACATGCAGGCTTCATGTCCGCACAGGCCCAGAGTTCATTATAATGACTTATTATGAGGATGACGTAAGCATGCATGTCAGAAGATGTCTTGTGTGCATTTATTATCTAGTGTTAGAATAAAAACACCAGAAACCACATGACCACTTGTCATATACTGTATGCAACATTTAACCTGTTAAATCCTGCACTTTAAAATTCAGATCCCAGGCCACTTAAAACGCACTTAAAAAACCACACACAACACACACACACACACACACACACACACACACACACACACACACACTTTGACAGCACACTGACCTGCACACGGTTATCAGGTTTTTTCTCTCCACCGCTATGTTACGACCCGGTGTTTTTTTCGAGTTATCTTCCATGGCCATCGCTGGCTGCACACAGCCGGGCTCCATCCAGGAGGAGGAAGCCCTGAAATCAAAGGACCCCTCCCTGTCGGCCACCGGCCCTCCGCATGCACTCCTGGCCGGAGAGGAAGCTGATTCCTGCCGGCAGTTGGTGCTTCGTCTTACGCCGGAGGATACACAGCCTGAGGCATCAGAAACACCGGAACATGCAGTATGTGGGGTTTATTATTACTCTCATACACAGAGGACTCGCAGAGGGCTGCATTACATTTGCTGCTCTCTCTCTGACCCCGCCTACTTTATGACTTCAACATGACGTCATGGGCTCGTCATGCAGACTCGACTCAACATGATGAAGAAAAAAATTATAAATAAAAATGCTTAACATGTCGGGGAAAGAAATACAATTAAAAGACTGAGTATGTTGAAAAAATAAATAAAACAAAAGACGGATCATGACTAAATGAAGAAACTAAATGAAATGCAAAACAGAAAATAAAAAGACTGAAGACAACAAATAAAAATGATTAAAAGACTGAACATGTCAAATAACAACATTTAGACTTGAATGAAAGGTAATATAAAAAACGAAATCAAATTTAAGTGAAACAAATATTACACATTTTGACAATCAAAAATAACCTATAACAATAATTCATTATTGATTTATTGATTATATTGTGACATGTTTTCAATGTTGTTTTATTTACGTGTATTTAAAGCATATTTATGATATACTGTGTGTGTTGTCCTGTTCTGCAAAATAAAATGCAGAGAGCTCCCAAAATTGCATTTTGTTTTATGAACCACACTTTCTCTTTAAGGCCACAAAGCACATAATGTATAACCATGTGATCATGTGACTGAGCGTTAAGTTTCCTGTTCAATAACAGCCTCTGAAAATGGGTTTACTGTACAATGAGAGTGACTGAGTGACTGACATCACCTCTAGTTATCATGCTTGATCATTTCCTCTTCCTGTCATTTCCCATCAGCCTCTCCTCCTCTCTCCTCTTCCTTCACCCTCTTGCTAACAGTAGATGATGTCTGGATCCCGATTTAGCTAGTGTACGGTGTCATCATGTGGACACTTTGCCCCCCAACCTTTCCTCTCTAATGAGCTGACAGCTGGTTGCTACCATACATTGCTGGTGGGGGTTGGTGTTTTTTTGTTTGTCCTGGTGGAGGAGCAATCACTCATGGATATCTGTGTCTGGCGCTCCATATGTTCGGATGCTTTATATTTCTGTTTTCACACCAGAGCTGTGAAATATATAATTTTAGTCTGTAATCTCAAAGGACAATCAGAGGGCATATCGCTTATATGCAGAATAAACTAGAAGTGCCCATAAATAGAATATAGAAAATGTGATTCAGGTTGAATTGCTTGATATACAAGATGATGTATGGGCCCATTTTTTATCATCAAATATTTTCGGATCCATTTTTGGAATGGTAGGGTAAGGAAGAGCACATTTTAGGGTAAACGTATGTCACAGTTATTTGTTTGTTATGTACTGTTAGATTAAATTAGTTATATTCAAATCTGACAAATGTTGAATTACTGCGATGATAAGTCCATGTGTGCTTGGAGTTTGGTATGTTCACTATTACTACTTAAAAACTAATCCCATTTCCTTCAGTATCATGATAACCTTATTCTAAATGCTTGAATGATAAGCAAGTCAAACTCTGTTCTAAAGTTATTGTGCTTTTATTTATTTTTTTACATTGACATGTGTTTTTTTTTCTAAAAGGGATGTTCTGCCTTTAGGGTTTTAATGGTGGGAAAGTCAGAAACAGTGCACACGGAAATATTGCTTGATAATTAGTTTATGTATTTTGATTTATATCTTGGGCGTAAACCAGTGAGAACATGTTACCTTGTAATGTTTCCTTTTTTCAACAGGGGGCAGAGCTTTATTCCGTATATTTTCTAACTGCTTAGAAATCCATGCTTTTGATGACTCACAGACATCTAAACGAAAAGGAAAGGACGAACAAAATATATATACAATATCTCGTTAGTGTATTCACATCTTTCTCTGCTCATGTATTTCAGAACGTTGAGGATATGTATCCACTATGGAATTATCATATTGAGCCACACTGAGCTTTATACTTCTCATTATTGCCTCCAGTAACGGTGACACCTCTTTTGTACACAGTGTCTCACCATATTGTCCCTACAGCGAGAGGAGACAAAGCCTCCAGGTTTTCTGCTCCAGCCACTTATAGAGATAGTCTGCAGGAGGAAACCAAAGAAATGGATCTGATATCTCTGGCAGACGTGATGAACATTGTTAACTACATGATTTAAAATTGCATTCTTAATTTCGACTTTTATAGCCTTTCTGTTTATATCACATTATTCAATCTCTTGACATTAAATCTTAATCTCTCAATCTTTTATTGTATTGTTTGTAACCTTTATTTGGTTGTCTTTGGAAAGCTTTTTCTTTAAAAACGGGTTCCAAACTTCGATAGGGCATATCTGGTTAAATAAAGGTCAAATAAATAATTAAGAAAACTGAAAAACCATTTTGATTCTACTTTTACATGTGATCCTGAAGTACCAGTGTGCCGTAAATGTGTGCATTGCCTTGAAACCACATAGGGCTAACAAGTGGTAAATAAATCACCCCCATTCATTTTAGTTCAGTTTTATTTGATTCACTTTTCTCATTTCAATGCATACTCCTACAAGAAAAACTAAAATAATCTTACGCTTTATATTTTTCTCTATTTTATAACCAGCCCTGACATTTGCAGGTTCAATTTCCTGTGTGTTTACCTTGTTCTGCAGGTTTTGTCACTCATGCTCGAGGTCTTTAAAGAGCTCAGGTTCCTGAAGCTCGAAGTCAGATCCTGAGGACAAAGTGTGACATTCTGGACGGTGTTGTGAGGGCGGTCGGGGCAGAGGTTACGGGGAGGAAGGGGCTGGGGTTTGGCCTGCGAGGGGCAGAAGGTTTGTGTCAGCCCTTGGGGTCCAATCAGGCTGATAAATATGGCTGTATTTACAATATTGACAACAACAGAGACATACGCTGTCTAGACAAGCTGTCTGGAAACTGCTGAATGATAATTATATAGAGTTCTGAAGTAATTAGTCTTAACATCTGGAAAAGAGTTAGCATTAAATGTTTTGTGTTTTTAGTTAGATGCCTGAGAAAAGGTCTGTGGCTAACACAAGCTTCAGATATTTTAATGTTTTGGTCCAAGACATCAAATGTGTCAGTAAATACCCCATTCCCTTTAAATGTCTCACACAATATGAGACTTAATTTCCTTATACCGTAAACTAGACCCTTATGGTTAATGGATGTGACGTAAAGTCATGGGGCCGTGGTGTTTTTCATTTAAGATTGCTACAGCAGATTCATAGACAGAGTTCTCTCTCTCTCTCTCTCTCTCACACACACACACACACACACACACACACACACACACACACACACACACACACACACACACACACACACACACCACACACACACACACACAGGCACACACCACACACACACACACACACACACACACACACACAACACACACACACACACACACACACACACACTTTGAAATGGGGTCAGCCAGTCCTAGTCTGGAAACCAACATAGGAAAAGATGGAAGAGGGAGAATATCACCAAAAACTCTTCCTGTTAAACATTCTTCCAGGTCCCTTCCTTTGACTTTTCTAATTCCCTACAGCGTCACATTCACAGATTATAACCTGTTAAACATAATTAAAAGCATTATAATACACGTTCACCATTTAACAGTGAGATGTTATTAAAGATTCACAACAAGTTTGCATACAATCCTGATGTTTGAACTCTGTAATGAGAAAAAGTGCCTTCAGTCGCCATTTTTCCTAAAATGTGTGTTGTGTTCTATCTCATATTTATGGATGGTAGTTTGATCCTAACTACAAAAAAACGACCTAAGACCCGTTGGTAAGCAAAAAACAAGCTCATCATCAATCAACCGATGTTTATTTAATAGCCGCCAAACCCACAAATGTTACATTTGTCTCAGTGGACTTCACAGTTTGTACAAGAATATCAGTATACTAATACCACACCTCTGTCTTAGACCCTCAATCGTACAAGGAAAAACCTCCAAGAAAACCACAGTTAGAAGGGAAAAATGCGGA